TCATCATTAGACTCTAAATTTATTAATCTGCTGCTTTCATCATTAGATTCTAAACTTATTAATCTGCTGCTTTCATCAGTAGACTCTAAATTTATTAATCTGCTGCTTTCATCATTAGACTCTAAATTTTGTAGATGAACATATTCTGTGATATATTCATAAATTAAACGGATTCTTTCATTTTTCTGGACTGAATAATGTCGTGCATTGAATTATTAAAAACGTAACGTGAGACGTTAATTTCCTTTGACCCATCAAAATGAACGTGGTCATTTATTTTCAGAATCAAAATTTAACATCACACACTTACATTAATTTGGCGAAATTGAAAAATAACAACATGGCTGATTTAGCAAGCTGTACAATTAGAAACCATACGGCGATGGTTTTCTCACTTCAAGCTGTACAACAGACATTTCTAAAAATATCTGGAATGATTTCTAGCAGATAGAAGAGTTTAAAGGTGGAAATTGAAGTTTAGAGGGAGAAAGGATGGATGAGGGAAATGTGTGTCGGCATCAGAACGGCACTCTCCGGTGAGTTCCCAGCTTCTTCCCCGGTACACTTAGGTGGTATAAATCAACTCTTTACCTGGAGGAGATAATCCACTGGTACGAAGTTCCATTTAACGCACCCTTTCAGCGTCTCCGTAGGAATAGTAGGGAACCGTTCGGAGTCGTGACTGTACTTGTTCGACACAAGTTCACCTCTTGATGGACTCACATGAGTTGAGTCCGTCAGAAGTTCCACTCAGAGGTGGAAGATGTCATAATCCCCACAAGACTCGGAAGAACTGCGGATCATGCCTGGACTTCTGTTCTCCCAGCACTGGAGCTGCAAAACTGAAGCCGGAGCCTGAAGCGACCGAAGCTCTGCAAACTCTCCACCCGACTGGTTTGAACTAGGAAGTACCGACATTTAAAGAGCTCTATTTCCGGTTTACTTGGGAGGTTCCTGATTGATCGTTTCGACCAGACAGGGGTGTGTTTTTGTGACGTAAGAGGTCACTAGAAGTCAGAAAAACAGCAAGAATGTTATGGAACAGATTGAAAATGTTTTTCAGACAGACGAGAGAAATATTTAGGCGAGTTGGGGGAAAACAGGTGCCAGCCTCTTATTTACGTCTGAGAGGATATAAAAACATGACAGTTCGTTCCAACAACTTGTTTTCTGTTTGACTCCAACCTTGGACCAACTTACACTTGCTCATTCAAAGACAGAAAATCAGAAAATGCATAATTACTCTGTAACAGACCTTAACGTGATTTCTACTTTGCATGAGGATTAAAAATCACTAATACTGTTTCACAGTTGATTAAAAATGATTAGTTCACTTCAACATCTAAAAATGGTTTGAACTAAACACACTTTGATTATCAAACATTTGTAAAATAGTAATGATAATAGAAAAAGAGTGTTCTTTCAATTGATCAGTGCAGGCCACTTTAGAAAGTCTCTGGATGACTTAATCTTGCGTTTCTGGACTCAAATCAATGAAATACAGTTCTTGTTCCAGGCAGGCCCTCAAGGCCAGATTTTGACCTGAGGCCTAGTTCACTACAATTTATTAATCTGCTGCTTTCATCATTAGACTTTAATATTGTTGTTTCTCTCCACTGCAGACTTAAATTTCTCACCAGAGCAGCAGCATCCAGTCAGAAGATCTGATAATGTGAAATATTCCTCTGCTAAATTTATGCTCTCAAACAGTAGAAAGGTTCAACTGAGCCACAGATTTTGTGACTTGGTGGAAAGATAAGTTGAACGGGTGAAGAAGTGTTTTCTCTGCAGTACACCCTCCGCTGTGACTTGAAGCGCTCTCTTCTCGCCAAAGACCTGAGCAGGAGCTGCGAGTTCATCGTCCACAGTCTGGTGAGCGTCTTCTTTCAACTGCAGCCATCGTGTCGGTGAAACATTAGATTAACGGAGCTGCTCTCCTCATCCATCTGGTGTTTCTTCTAGAAATTCAAGCTTCATTTAACATTAGATTATCGTAGATTATCAGATGAGATTAAGAGTTGTTCTCGTTGATTTTCAGCCACATAAAGGTAAAACTGTCCCCGCTCCGGTCAACTTCACCATCACCCCCGAGACGTTGCAGAACACCCGTGAGGTGAGGACCTGCTGAGGTTTCACATTTTTGTTGAACCCCACACCGAGCGAGCTTTTTGTCTTCAGAGGAGCGCGCTGCCCAAGTTTCTGATCAGAGGCCACCTGGACGCCACGAGCTGCGTGATCAACCAGCCGCTGACCGGAGAGGTGGTGGTGGAGAAATCAGACGTCCCCATCAAGAGCATCGAGCTGCAGCTGGTTCGAGTGGAGACCTGCGGTGAGTTGGACATGGGGGGGGGGGGGCCTGAAGCAGCAGAGCTGGAGCTCCTGTGTGTGACGTGTGTGCTCAGGTTGTGCTGAAGGGTACGCTCGAGACGCCACAGAGATCCAGAACATCCAGATCGCCGAGGGAGACGTCTGTCACGGCCTCTCCGTCCCCATCTACATGATTTTCCCCCGACTGTTCACCTGCCCCACGCTGGAGACCACCAACTTCAAAGTGGGTCAGTGACACCGACCAGTTCACAAAACACCTCGAGCAGGAGCGAGACTCCTAATGTCCTCTTCTTGTCCTTCAGAGTTTGAAATCAACATCGTCGTCGTCCTCCACGACGACCATCTGATCACAGAGAACTTCCCTCTGAAGCTGTGCCGCACCTGAACCACGCAGGTTCTGGAGATGTCCTACAGATGTGCTCCAGCAGCAGCAGCTCCTACAGATGTGCTCCAGCAGCAGCAGCTCCTACAGATGTTCATCTTCACTAAACCACTAGTTTTACAAGAACAGGTGCTACTCTTCACAGATCACCATCATTTGTGGAGTTCATTCATAAAATTACATTTTTGTGAGATAATATTTCTGTGGACATTCTGGTTTTCATGAATTGTGCTGGGAGGACGTCCTGGGACCAGTTTCAGGTGCCTTGTGTTCATCTTCCTCGTAACAAACTGATCTGCTGTCTTCAGACATTTTGAAGAAAATGAAGCTCCTCTCCAACTGGGACGTCGTTAAATCCTCAAGCAGCTTTGGGAGAACATCTTTTCATGAAACTTGATAAATTCTGATCCGTCAGATGAATCTGTACTGCGATGAAATGTTGTAACTCAGGGTTATTCAACTAAACTGTTCCGGGGCCGGACATCCAGCCATTAAAGTCTTTAAGTTTGTTTTATGGTTTAAAATCTACCGTAAACTCACCGTACAAGTCGCATCTATTATGAGTCACCACTGACAACCTGGAAATGTGGGCTGGTGTTGTGCCAAAATAGATTGGCTGCCAAACGGCGGGAGTGTGCACGTAGGCCCGTCGCAATAAATAATAAATCTATTAATCGCATAATAAATGAAAATTATCAACTTCATTTTCATTTATCGGTTTTAGTTTCTTCGCGTCTCAACTGAAAACACTGGATGACAAAAGACTCGACTCCATTGTTCTTCACCGATTCTGTTTCTCTAAAATCTGTTTTAACTGTCAAATCGCGTTTTTGGATCGTTTAAGCTGCTAAGCTACGAGCTAAGCTACGAGCTAAGCTAACAGGCCGACTTCAGGAAAAAAAAACTCAAGTCTTGTCGAAGCTCCAAAATTCAGTTGAACCCCGTGCCTTTGTCCAAAAAGTTGTTTTTCTCTGCAAAATGAAGACGAGAACTTTACTCGTTTTTTTAGTTAAAAGCTTTGTGTGAAAAATGCTACGCTAAAGAGCTCAAGGAGCGTCCGACGTCTTGAAAACCAAAAAACAAGGACAGCCCGTGTCTCGTCAAGGGGCTTCATTTCTGAGGCAATCGCTTAGCAAAATTTGTTATAGTGACAGGCCTACGTGCACGAGGCCTTTCACAAGAATTTAACTAGAATAACACTTAAAAACAATTTGTTTGCTCGAAATTACATCAAAGGTGTGTCTCAGTTGAACTTTTCCTTAATAAATGCACTTTTGATGGTTAAATCAGCTGCATTTCAAAAGCCGATTCGTGGCTGCTGGAGCGTGCACAGGCCGACGCTGTGCATTTCTTCAAAATTTAACATGATCACCTAAAAACATTTATTTATTTGCTCGACATTATAGTAAAGGTCTCAGTTGAACTTTAATGGTCAAATTAAATTTCACTGGCCGCCCAGACGAAATGCAGCTGATTTGACGTTTGCTCCAGTTGTTTTACCCATTAATGACACGTGGCCCTCTAGTGGCTGAAAATGGTAGTGTTCAATATATTCCTCGTCATTCTGAATGAAATTGTCAGATCTCAGATAAAAATTGTGTTATGAATATGGGAAAAACAAATGTCACTTCGCTGTATAAGCTAAATATATGCTAATTTGTGAAAAGCTGCGACTTACAGTGAAAATTGCGGTAGTTTTATGTAAAATGAACATTGGCGGGCCGCACTGAGTTCACCTGTGGGCCTTATTTGGCCCCTGGGCCAGCAGTTGAAGAGCCCTGTTGTAAACATCGTCTCCAGCTGGAAGTTTTTAAAGTCCAGAACAAACTGTTGGGTTTGATGGAACAGTTCTGTTTTGGGTGGAAACATTGATTTGTACAAATGATTAAATTCATCTGTATCTTTTTTCAGTAACATTTAAATTACTTGATAAATGGCATCAGATTAAAGCACCAGTTTTTAATCTTTGAAATATGAAGCTTCAGGAAGTAAAAAGTTGTAAAAACTAAAATCAGATTCAAATGTTTTATTTTAAATCTTTACCTAGAGAGGAAGCAAACTATTTCAAGGAAGAAGAAAAAAAAAAATCAGCGTTTCAGCACAAAATTCTACTAGTAAAGATAAAAAGCGAAAACGTGTGCATGTTTTACAGAAACTTCAAAGATAAAAACGTTAACGTTGCAGCGAGCCGTTCAGACTTCAGGGGACTTGGCGCCTCCGACCGAGCAGGACGGGGAAATCACCGGGCATCAGGGTGGGGAAGTCGCCGGGCAGCATGGCGTGATTTCTGCAGGTGGGACAGGTGTTCTTCTCATTCAGCCAAGACCTAATGCACTGAACACGACCAGAACCAGAACCGCTCATTAAAACCACAAACTGGCAGCACTGGTGGGTCTATGAGCAGAACTGCTGCTCGGGCTCACCTCGTAATGGAAGCTGTGTCTGCACTCGAGGACGCAGGTCTCGTCTGGACTCATGTCGTCGTGACAAATGATGCACGGGTCCTCCACGTTCAGCTGCAATCACAACTCAGTCAGGTCCAACCTGAACCGGACTCTCAGACAAAACCTCACATTTAAAGTTCTGCTGCTGGAAACGTCCAAAGAACCAGTAATGTTGGCCTGCA